CCCCAGCCAGCCATGCTGGCTGGGGAATTCTGGGAGTTGAAGTCCACCTATCTTCAAGTGGTCAAGGTTGAGAAACACTGCTCTAGCTTCTGCTTGAATATAACCAAGGAAGAGAAACCCACCACTTCTCTGGATTCCTGATTCCATTGTCAAACTGCTCTTGTTGGAAGAGTTTCCTAACGGTTAGTCAAAATCTGCCATCTTGTAACTTAAATCCCTTATTTTCTGTCCCAACCTCTGGAACGAAACAGCAGGCCTTGATCTACCATGTGGCAGTTTTGCAAGTATCGGAAGGGGGCTGTTGAACCCACCCCCCTTGTCTCCTCCTCTTGAGACAAAACCTACTCAGCTCCTCCTAACTCAGCAGGTTTATCTCCTGTATTAGAAACACAGAATTAGAGCTAAGGCAGCACGCTGTATAGGAGACAGAAACTGAATCCACGACTCCCTCCTCTGGCTTTTGGCGGTCATGTGTGCAGGTCTGCCGCAGGAAGTGTGTGTGATAGTCTGTGAGAATAACCTCAGGAGACAGAAGGAGAAGGAGCCACAGCCTAGGCAATGGTCAGATAAGAGACGTCTCAGCCCACAGCAGGAATGGGGACGTGGGAAGCATCTCAGAAGGGACCCTCCCTAGTTCTCTGGAAAATAAAGGCAAGGAACGGGAGAAATGTTTTCAGACTTGCAAGATACTGCCACTGTAACCTTACAATAAAGGTAGTGATAGGACTCATGGTTTCTTGTCTGGACTATCTCGAAGGGCTGAAAGTTTGTCATTCCCGCCCCTGTGAAAAAGGCACTTTTTAACACACCTACCATGAAGGGCACATGCATGCTACCTACTACTTAATTTGCTTCCACTCCGGTGCAGGCACATGGATCGGCAGCAGCCTTACATCATTCTATCAGCATGGATCAGCCTAGTGTGTGTGTCGCACAAGGCCTTTATACCTTCCCTAAGAGCTATGGTGAAATAGAAGAGGTTTGGGGCATCCATTTTGTTTCTCCCCCCGCCTAGGAAAAACAAATTGGACTGGGGGAGTGGGGCTTTTAACAGGCA